TGAATACAAAGGTTTACCTAACATATACTTACTGCCTCGTGGAATTTTTTTTTTTTTTTTGTAATTAAAAACAGCCTACATGGCCAACAATAGAGAATAGATTAAAGTAAATGGATTGCTATTCAGGTATTAACAGTCATGACAGAAAGATATTCAAGTCATGCTATATGGAGACCTCATATGGAAATGAACATTATAATTTCATATGTGCCTAATTAAGTAGTGCAAATATTTGTAGAAAGGGAAACATTGGAGAGACATACAACAGAATGTGAGTAGCAGTTATCGCAGGTAATAAGGCTGTGAATTTTTTGATCAATTTGTATCTTACAATGATTAGATGTCGTTTATATCTACTTTGAGTTATTTTTTTCAAAAATCAAACTAGTCACATAAATATTTTCTCTTCACAACCTTTTGAAGTTTTCAGATATGTTAGCCTTTGCATATATGGTACAGTCATTTTGAAAGATCTACAGATCTATAGCTATCCAGTTTGTCCAAGAAAGCCAGTTACCATTCCTTTTTTTCTTAGAAGTCAGTAGCTTTAATGAGATTTGACAGTATCTCAAAATGACTTTTATAATTAATATTTCTAGTAATGTCTAATTTAAATATTTACACCCAGGTTGAAAGCATTCTATATATATAAGCTGTCATTGATTTCCCTTTGTCTTTTCTGCTGTAGCAGCATTGAATAGGAATTAATACAACTCACATATATAATTTAAATTGTCTAGAAGTCACACTAAAGTATCAAAAATAAGTAAAATAAATCTTATCCAGTTAACCCAATATATATATAGTATTCTCATTTCAGCTCGTATTCACTGTTTAAAAGTTACTGGCTTTTTTCATACTATTTCTTCAAAGCTCATTGTGTGTTTTTATATTTGTCGCACTTACCAGATAGGCTCAGTAAACACACGTAGCTCGTGGCCACCTTGTTGGACCAGTGCAGACCTACAGCACACCCATGTTTCCAGAGTTTTGCTATCATGGAAGACATGATTTTTCATTGTTGTTTTCTTTTTTGTTCTTTTTTAAAGTACCTGTGCTGTTTTTTTCTATATTTTACTTGAGCTTTACAGCACTCACATAATGTGTTCTAAGAAAGAACTGTTTTCTAATAGCACAGCTTAGTGCTTTATGTACATATATACATCGTTTTCGTTTTTATAAGTTACTCATGCTCTGATGTCTATAGAGTTTTAGGAACATAATGCATTTTGTGTTAACTAAAAGTGGATGTATTTCAGTTTTCGAATCTAAAATTTTAAGAATAGTGACTAGTTGCTGTTCCGATTGCTGCTATTACATAGGACATCACACCCAAAACTTAATGTCTTAAGACAACCACTTTATTATGCTCATTGGTTCTGTTGATCAGGAATTGGGTAGGACACTGCTCTGATGTCTAGGAAGACTCAGAAGTGATTCAGTGGCTGGAGCTTGGAATGATCTGGAAGACTCATTTATTTCCATGTCCAGCATCTGGACTAGAATGATTCCCAAGACTGGGACTCAGATCAGGGTACTCACATTTGACCTTCCTTGGGGTCTGGCTTCCTGGGACCCAGGCAGTACTAGAGTACCTGGACTTGGCTCTGTGGCAGTTCGGGGACCACATGCAAGCGCGCCATCAAACAGCGCAGAAGCTGACTCCTGTCACCACACCTGGAAAGTCATACAGCGTCTCTGTCTCTCTGTTGGTAGAGAATTGCTTAAGACTGAAGGAGTGTAGCTGTGGGCCACACCCTATAATCAACAGAGTATCAGAGGATTTAGGGACTGGCTGTTTTGAAACTGCCAGAGTTGTGGAAGGAAGTACAAGCAAATGAAAATGCTAACATTAATAAAATTATCATAATTTGTGTTGTTTTTAGAAAGGAATTTAGAAATATATTAACTTTGTAATAATTGCCAGGCTCAGTTTTTAGAGTTTTTAGGCAGAAGTAAAATGTCAATATTAGTTTAGGTGTTACAGCTTAAAAGAAAATATTTACTTGTCCTAGATTTTTTTCTTTCAATATAAACTAATCCTTGTGTTTTTGACCTTTTTTAAGTTCAGGCTTCCTAGACATCAGAATAACCTAAAATATCTGAAAGGAAACAATTTGCTTTCAGAGAATTCTTGGTTTGTGTATCATTTTTATTAAATTGCTTTCAGATACTTTTTCAGACATTTATCATTTAGATTTTGGCATAAAGTGAGAAGTGACAGGCATTGATATAGTTAGTTGCTGTCACCTTCACGTGTCACAAAGTCAGTCTCATCTTTGCTGAGAAATAAGTAGACTTCTCATAACTAATTCAAGTCTGATCAGTTTCACCAGCAACATCATTCCTGTTATTTTTAGAAGAATGACATTTGAATAGTTTAGACATCGTAATGATGATTATTTCCCTGTTTTCAGACCATGTAGCGTGGATATGCCAAATCAGTCATTGACTATATACTTCAACATACCTAACGCCCACGTGGCTCTTCTGAGTTGATAAATTTTACCCAAGTGGAGTTTTCTAAGATGATTGTGAAGAGTGACAAATTTCTCTTTTTATAAATATTTTAGGGAAGGAGAATATTGTACTTTATTTTTTGATGTGTTAACAAAAGACTCCTTTAGACATTTTTCATTTTAAGTAAATAAATTCTTTCAGGTGAACTATGACTTTGTGAAATACTAGTGAATTATACATCCAATTAAACAGTGTCATCTGAGTTTTGGTTCTTTATCTTTAGTATTATAGAAAAGTGGCTATTATTTTACCTTCACAGCTTGACTGTGTTAGATTTGTGTCTGCCATAGAAAAATGTGTTTACTTGACCAAAGATTCCATCATTGAAAAGGAAAACTAAATTTTTTTTTATATATATAACAGTTTATTTTTACATCATTTTGTACACTTTTTTTCCCCCATCTCAATTGTAATCCCCGCGTGTTTGGGTTTCCCATCACCAAGTCACCCGTGTACCATCACCATAATCCCGTGCACTTCCCTCCCCACCCCCAGTTAAAACTAAATTTTATCTATGTCTTTCATGAACAAATACTTTTAGCTTTTTATATATTATTATGGCAAATGATTCATTGCCACTACCCTTGTGTTGGTGAACTTGAATCAGTTTTTGAATACATTTGCTATCCTCTCACTTGTATGGCACAGATACCTGTTTCCTTTATAATAGGGAGATTAGATGCTGGGATTATTGAACTGCCTCTAGGGAACCAAAACTAGATTTCTGTTGTTTGGACGACTGGCCATTTGTTGGGCTAACAAAAGCCAGCCAGATTTTAGTGGAGTGGGTGAAAGCACATCATTGTTTAAAGCATGAATTTGATTCAGATCCCAGCCCTGTTGCTTCTTAAGTATGTGATTGTTTTAAGCAACTGCTGTGCATCATTTATCTAACTTATAAAGTGTGTATAATGATACCATGCACTTGAAGTGAGGTTGAGGAAGATTAAAGTCATATATATAAATAGATATGGCATTCAGAATAGTGAATGGCACTGTGTAATTTTATGATACTAATAAATTTAATATTAATTTTAATGATGTTGATAAATACATTTCAGAGTGATAAGAGTGTTAATACACTGGAGGAAAACATGAACTATAGTTTTATAATATTGTAATGGGGAAGGCTTAGTAAGCATGGTTTGAACACTTACTGATCGTCAAGGAAGGATTTTACTACAAGAAACTGTAGCAAAGACGCCATGAACAAAGTCTGAAGACAAACGTATTGACATGGCCCTGAGGGAAGATGCAAGCAGCACGTATAGATGTCAGGCTGGAGTTGTTACTGTACAAGACATATATAGTCTGTAACAGAAACAGAGCGCTGTGGGAGAAGGGCCAAGAGCAGGAAAAGGCCCAATGACTGAAATACTGGAGGGATTCACAGCACCAAGGCTAAGTGCTGCAAACTAGTGTTTGCTACTCACCATCTTGGCAGTATTAAAATATACTCAATGTTGGGAACATGACATTTCTAGAGCATTGCTGCTGGAAGATGGATCTTGATAAGCCTTTTTGAATAGGTAGTAATGGTCAAATCCAGAAACACTATGAACCTCCAGTTCAAACAACAGATTCATCACAGAAGTTGACACCTCATAGATATCAATTCACTTCTTGAAATATTGACCATTCTATAGGAATAACTATGATTTACATATGCCGAGACCCAAAGGGTAGCTAGGACACATTAAAAAAAAAAAAGCAAAAGCAAGTTGCAGAACAATTACTTGTGTTTAAAAACTGTTTATGCTTATATACACATTACATGTGTATGTAGGTGTGTAAAGGATGTACAGGAAACCATTATGCACCTGCCTCTGGGAGGAGTTGTGTCACTAGGGACAGGGACAAAAGGGGGCTTACTTGTACTTTTCACTTCTTATTCTTCACTGTTTAAAACAAAATTGTTTTATAGTGAGTGTGTTGTTTACTTTTGTATTTCTTTTAAAAGATTATTTATGCATACAGATCTGGGGTGTAGGCCAGCGGTGCAGGGGGTGAGAGGATTCACCAGAAACAGGGTGGGGAGCAGAATAGGTAGATTGACTGAAATACACTGCTGAAGGGAGCAGTGGGCAGGTCAGGAGAGGTCTGTTACAGCACATGGGTCACCTCCCTGGGCAGGGCTCAAACTTGTGCTGCAGTGGCTGCACATAGCTTCATAGTGGTGTACTTTAACCCGTTGTGCCACCAGGGAGAACTCTTTTGTATTTCTTTTAAAAACATTGGTACATTGTGGGAGGGCGTAAATTCACACACAGTTGTGAATACCGTGAGGTGTGCATATTGGGGGCCATCTTGGGAACTAGTTACTACATTGGCTCTATAACAGTGTTTATATGTTGTGACACTTTGGCAGTATAAAGAAGTAAATTAGGATGGCAGTTACTTGGGACAGATGCTTCGAAATTATCTCCTTACCAATCCCTGTAAATGGTTGCTTTTCTCTTTCAGGTCCAGCACAGAATCAAATGCAGGCTCCGTCTGGGTATGGATTTCATCCTCAAAACTATATTGCTCCCTCAGGACATTACTCTCAAGGACCTGGGAAAATGACCTCCTTGCCCTTGGATAGCCAGTGTGGTAGTTACTACTCTGGTCTCTATCCAGCACCAACACAAAATTTGGTAACTTCTAACACAGCGAACCAACAGCCAGGAGCACAGCAGATATATGGCAGGGGCCCTACTGCCCCTCATGTTGTAGGATCCGCTCCAGGGTCTTTCCAAGGTGCCGCATCGCCAGCCTCCCGCCTGCATACGAGTGCCTCCCAGCCCTACTCCTCGCTCGCCAATCACTACAGTACTCCCGCCGTGTACTCTGCCAGCTCTTCTGTTGCTTCTCAGGGATTTCCCGCCACGTGTGGTCACTATGCTCTGTCGACTGTTTCTAATCCCTCGTATCCTAGCGTTTCATATCCTTCTCTGCCTGCTGGTGATCCATATGGGCAACAAATGTTTACCTCACAGAATGCTGTGACTGTCAGGCCAGTTAGAGAGTCGCTGTTTCCCGGACAGAGTGCAGCCATCACCCCCTCATCGCTGCTCCCACCCCCACCTGCAGCATCACAGCAGTACCAGCAGCAGCAGAGCCTTTCAGGATATAACCCTGGCTCGTGGTCAGCTTCAGGCCTGCCTTTGACCCAAGACAGTCTCGTCCGAAACCATGCTGGCCCCCTGGTTTCAGCCAACAACAACCCGACAAATACCGGTAAGTCAGATGAGAAGCTCACAGCGCGTGGCTGAAAACGAGTGCATTTCCAGTTGGGGGTTTATTTGCATGAAACGCAAAGGTGGTATCGCCCAATATAAAATTGGAAATGAGCTCATATTTGCGGTTTATTTTTTTAACTGTTCATTTTTTGTCATCCCCCCAAGCCTTGCCCATTTATCTCATAATGGTTAGCTACCTGGCTGAATGCTTGTATCCCCTGAGTCTTTGTTGTGATTGACATCTCAGTCAATATTTATTGATTTAATGATAGACTGATTGGTGTCTGTAGTAGTTGTCTTTAATATGAGTTACATAGCTGGGAAAGTGGGAGGGTCAATTTGGGGGCGTGCTTTTTAACTATGAGTTTTTCATACTAGCTCAACCTTGGGCACATTCATATTCCAAGCAGCACCTTACTATAGAAAAGAAGATGCCGTGCGAAACTGCGCTGGCTCCTCTAATTTATCTCCTACTAATGACTCACGGATTTCTTTCCTGCATGTTACTGCTGAGGTTTTCTTATTTTCATAGTGGTGAGTTAGGATAAAGTTTGGGGGAAAAGGAAGAAACACTTGAAGAATACCCTTGTAGTTAGTCTTTCTGATCTTCCTAAATCAAAATGTGGTTGACTCATTTAAAAATTATGTGTGTCAGGTGTGTAGTGTATCAGTGTGGGACTTTCATAGGATATACTCATTTTAATTCAGCTTGTGAACTTGAACTTAACAGAATCTGCTCTTGAATTAAATGAAAATTCCTATAAGGAATGGGTATTGGTAAAGCAGTGTTAGTATTCTGAATCTTTACCTTGCTTATTAGAGTCTGGAGAACCTTATATCAGGAGAATGTTGTAAAGAGCTCTTCTTGACAGGACAATTAGATCAGTTAAAATTAGAACTTTTAAAATATTTCTCAGCCAGCCCTGTTGAGTTACCTGTGGTCATTAAGTTAGAAGCAGCTGGTTCTGGGTCACAGTTCCTTCTGACTCTCTGTCTGCCCTCCTCAGAATCGGGGCTTTCTGCTCCCTGGAAATTGTTTTCTTTCTCTCTTCTTTCATCTGTCCTTTTGCAGATCAGCTTATAATGTCCCTCTGACTTAAGGATTCTGTGACTTTCATGACAAAAAAGGAATACAGGTAATTCCTATCTTATTTCTGAGATGGGAATGGGACCCTGGATGGAACCAATTTCTGTTGAGATGTAGGATCAGGGAAATATGGGACCATTTGATTTAAAAAAGAAAGAAAGAAAAAGAAAAAACAGACAAATCCAGAACCCATTATTTTAAAAAATATTGACTAAGGTCTAAGAATAATTAAACTACATTTTATTTGAACACCTAGTCATTGGTCCTGTAGGTAGTGAAATGGGCTGTACTTTCATTGTTGTAGCTCTAGTGTTTACTGTGAAAACCACAGTAACACTGTCTTGAAAGTGCAGTGTGAGATGCTGTAGCACATGTCCCAGCCTGGATGTGCCCTCTGTCTCCCATGCCCTGCAAGGCCCAGCAAATGTCAGACCATGTATGTAGCCAAGATCCACAAAGTAATGGTGGCCTGGAAGTTGGGCTAATTTCCCTGAGTTTTCACTGTCTTGGAGATTTTGGCACAGAAGTTCATTAATATCATGGTAGATCTGATGGTGCTTAAAAAGGTATTTTTAAACATAGTTGTTTTTTTTTTTAAGATTTATTTATTTATGCATACAGAACTGGGGTACAGGCCAGAGGTGCTGTGGGAGTGAGAGGATTCACCAGAGACAGAGCAGGGAGCAAAGTAGGCAGACTGACAAAGTACACTGCTGGGGGAGCAGCTGGCGAGACAGGAGAGGTCTGCTGCACCTTGTGGGTCACCTCCGGGGCTGGGGATGGAACTTGCGCTGGAGTGGCTGTGGCCAGCCTGCAGTGCTGCGTCCTACCTGCTGTGCCACCAAGGAGGGCCTACACATAGTTTTTAAAAGTAGTTTAGTAGGAATTTTGGTCCTCTTTAACCTAACCTATCCTCAACCAGAGGCATGTAAAATGTCATTTTAGGCAGTGTTATAATTTCCTGTTATGAACAAAGGGTACAATCAGTATATTTACTCTATTTTCCATACCCTTCCCTTTTCGGTCACCTAATTTTGGATAATGATATCTTTCTTAGTTGTTACTTTGTACTATTAAACTTACTTAACCACTGTTATTTTAGCCATTTTAATAATTGATTATTTAATGATACAGTGCTGGTTTAAAACAAAAATAATGTAATGTTTTTCATTATTTTGTGGTATCTGTTGGTTTTTCCTCAACTTACTTATTTGTTTGTTTAACTGGAGAGCTGGCGGGACCGGAAGATGGAAGGCCTTCCCTCATGTGTCTGGTGGTTGGTATCCCGTCACTGGGGTATCTGGGTTTTTCTCTGCTTGACTAAACTAACTTCCCTACATGGTGGTCCTAGGGCAGCATTTCAGGAACAGAAAGAAGTTATAAGTCCTCATATGACTTTGAGGTCAGGGATTCAGATACCGTTGCTTCTGCTAGATTCTGTTGATGAAAACCAGGCCTGAGGTCCCTCCCACGCAGGCAGCTGGAGAGTAGACTCCACATCTTACTGAGAGGAAGCCAAATAAAGTCAGGCCTTTGTCTCCCATATGCTGTTTCCTAGAAAGGGTGAAGCAATTAACAGCATTAGACTAATTTCTACCTTCTTTCCCCTTTTTCCATCTTTATACCTTTTGTAGTGTTCGCACATTTAGCACATTTCGTCCCCATATGCTTGTCTTTTTTTTCAGTCCTAAAGCTAAGATTCTTTTTCTGTGAACTGTGTATAGAGGGAGATATGTGGCCGCATCATACATACACACGCGTACATACCTGTCTATCTCTGAGTTTATGTATGTTCAGCCTGTTCACTCACATCTAGTCATTTGCCTCAGGTTCCTCCCCACCCCAGCTTAATTTAGATATAATTGACATAACATTGTGTAAATTTAAGATTTACAACATGATGATTTGCTACAAATGTTTGCAAAGTGATTTCACAGTAATATAGTCTGTTGCTTAGCGACAGGCTTATGTTCTGAGACATGCATCATTAGGCAGTTATGTCGCTGTGTGAACATCACGGATTGTACTTACACAAGCCTAGTTGTACCACCAACCACACAGTTAGGCTGAATGTCGGGACCAAGTCATATATGCAGTCCAGCCGTGATCAAAATAAATGATGTCATAGTCCTTCTCTTCAATAGTGAGTGTGTGTGTGTGTGTGTGTGCGTGTGTGTGTGTATGTATGAGAACATTTAAAATCTAATCTCAGCAACTTTCTAATATGTTATACAGCATTGTTAGCTATGTTCACCATGTTAGAATTAGATCCCCAGAACTTGGTCATAACCGAAAGCCTGTACCTTTGACCAACTTCTCAGTGTTTTTCCTGCTTCGTAGCAGCTACCACTCTGCCCTCTTTTCTATGACTGTTATATTTTGGATTCCATGTATAAGTAAAGTTATGCACTGTGTAACTTATCTCAGTACACTGCCCTTGAGATTCACCCACGTTGGAAGTCGCAGGATTTCTTTTGTTATGACTAAATAACATTCTAGCAGGCATGCACATGTATATCTGTGTGCGTGTTGCAGATGTACACACACAACACAGCACCACATCTTCACCCATCTGCCTGTGTATATATGTGATTATTCACATTTTCTTCTTTCATTAATGTCATTAAGTTGTTGGCAGTAGGTTTTCCAGTGATCTCTGGCTTGACTGAAGATTATCCTCTAGGACAAGTAATTTGAGCTATCTCAGAACTCATGTACTTTATTCCAGAAGTCCAACCTAGTGTTGCCAGTAGGCCTGCACTTGGTTATTTGTGAAATACAGCATCTGATTAGTGACAACCAACTAGTGGCAGTTTATGATATAAACTGAAGTTTAAGCTGAAGTTGGAAGTGTCTGTGGAATTCACAAATGGCAGAAGCAGATAATCTCTGTTCATCTTTCCTGAGGTGCTGTGCATGGTGCAGTAATTAATATCACTGGGAGTGGTCATTAGTAAAGATGGCCATCTTTACTACTTTGGGTTCAGCTTATTTAAAAAGGTAAGGACACTTGTAAGACACTTTAGGAAAATAGCCATTAAATATTATTAAAATATTTGGTGAAGAGGTTTCATTGTTTTTGAAAATCATTTTTTGGACTACTCTTATTTTCTAGATACAGATTTACAAGGTAAATGTGATGTTATTGAAGTTTCTACAATAACTTCCAATAAACTATTGTTAAATTTTAACTTCTGTTAAGTTTATGCTATGGATGATGGTTTCTTGTCTTCAGGTGCAGAGTCTTTATCCTGCCCTGTTACACAAAATGTGCAGCCTCTCAAGTGCAGCTCAGCAGTGCCTGCTGCTTTGTCAGGATCCTCGGTGACAAGAGCACCTCTGGGTGCAAATCCCCCAGTGCAGCCTGCGGCCTCGGTTACACAGCCACCAGAGATGTTGCAGCAGAAAGGTATTCGTGTGACTCCTTATGCCATTATGTAGCACACACACCTGCTTCAAATAGCTGACCTTAAAAGTTAAACTGCGATCATAATTTATAGAAAACATGGGAGAAGTGTTGTATAATCTCAGTACAAACAGTTTTCTTTTTTCTACATTAACACTCAGTCTTTGTTATGATTCTGTGTTTTACATGATTACAGCCATAGTGTACATGCCATTTTGTGTTTTCTTTTCCAGTTATTAAATTCTATGCATTTCTTCCTATATGTATATATCCATTTTTGTGGCTGTTCATTTCTGTGTCAGTTTTAATTTACTAACCCGTTCTATTATGGGACGTTTATTTTGTAATTATTATAAGTTATTACAGTTTTCTTTTAGGATACTGAACCCAAGATTTCTCATGTGGTAACTCTTCGTATCTATTAGTTGATTGCCGTGCTTGTCACTGTTACTAATGGGAAGTGTTTTTTGACCCAATTTTGGGAATGAGAGATGAAAATGAAATTGTAATCCACACTCTTGAATCATTGACAAGACAATGCACTTCATTTGTGCTGTAATCAGACCTCCTACCTTGAATATGAGAACTCTCTCATGTTCCGAAATTGGGAAAAATCATCATAAATCCTCAGGCTGATCTTATGCTTATGTCTGTTGAATGTTTGTGTGGTCAACAGAGGCTTTCTATCAGTGATCCGTTTATTATACATTTTCATACTTGGTTTTATAGGAAGTCCAAGGAGTTTCCTTTGGGTCCTAGTAAGCCAGTGGGTATATTGGGGTCAGACTAGTGATCCTGAGTGTTTGCCTTCGGAGTGAAGGGCTGGTAGGAAAGTTTTACTGATCACCAGTAGACAAAGCATCAGCATAGGCTGCAGCCCTGACTCAGGGACCTGTGTCACACTCTCGCATCCATGGTGACTGCCTGCCCTACCTCCCACTCGCTTGTTGCGCCTTTATGTTGCCCCTGCTGGTTTCTTCTGTCATGTCTTATTTTATTCTTGATAATTGTGCTTTAACATCCCACCATCCCATGATAGAAGTATTTAGTAAGCTACTTTCCCACTAAATAATCATATTTCATTTTTGTCTTCCTGATTAAATTTGAATAGCAAAGCTATCCCTTCTTCACTTGCAACATGCCAGGTGCTTTACATTTATTATTTCATTTAACCCTGTGATGTAAACATTATGCCTGTTTTACAGATGAGAAAAATGAGATTCAAAGTGGCTAGGTAACTTGCCCAAGATCGTAAGTTAATAAAATAGCAGCGTGACACATTTTTAACTCAGACCTTGCCGTCCTGTGCTCTTTTCTGTACAGTGAGGCTGAGTGTTTGTTGTTGGCTGTTAACAAACTCTTGATCTACCAAAAATAAGCTCCTGAATTATTAACAGGGCAGCTAATACTGGTGACGTTTTAACTACAGCTGTCATTGCTCCTTTCTGTAAGTAGCAGACAGGCTTCTCAGTCACCGCTTTCTCTGTGTGTGGGTCCGGGCCACACAGCCTAACTGTATAGCCAGAGTACTGTGTTTGTTTGCAGGTTGTAGTTTGTATGAAAGGCTCCTCTGGCAGGTATGCAGCTGTGGCTTACTTGGAGTGTGCTGTGTGTCTGATATGGCTACTAAAATCGTAACACTTAAAAGAAATTAGTCTTTTTTTCTCCCAGCTTCACAGATACCTTTGCTTGGTTATTTTCTCAAGTACTTAGTTTTTTTGCTGGTTTTTTGAGGTGAGGGCTCAAATTTTTATGTGAATCTCTCCTCAGACTTTTTTGGAAAAACTCTACTTGAACATTTTTTAGAATGATATATAAAAATATATGTTAAATAGTTGCAATTATGTAATTTTGAACATCTCTCTTCACTTTTAAAACAGAGATGTTACCTTTTTCTCAGTATCCACTAAAATGATAACCTATCATCGTCCCTTCAAAAAATACCCAAATCCTTAGCATTCAGAAAATTTGTTTTGCCTTTTTTCCTTAAACTCATACCCCCAATGTCAATTATATATAATATACTCTTAAGGTAAACATTCTTTCATTTTTGCTATCATAGTTCTTTGCCACAATGATATTATTAAAAAAATGGAATTTTAAACTGCTTTTTTTTGTCTGAGACCATAAATGTCTAAGTAGTAACCATTTTCCCCTGGATTAGGCTTATTGGTACAGTTGTTGTCGATATTTATAGGCAGTCAGAACAATACAAATATTGTGATTTTTGTTTTTGTTTAAGAAAGTTATTTAAATTGAAACTGTCTCTTTAAGTGAGATGAATGGGGTTACCCCACCATCATAATTTATGTTCCTGATTTGCATATGATTCATTGTTAGAATAAGGTAACCTTTAGATAAATCTCATTCATAGCTGAACTTTCATATATGTAGTCATTGAGAAACGGCTCACGTAAAGTTGATGGGGATGGTACTCAGAAGGTTTTATTACAGAATATCAATCTCTTGTTTGTTTTTTAACCTTTGGAATTACATGTCAGAACTTTTTACTGTTAGATTTTATTTCAAAGGTTGTAGATAATTGGTAACATTAACATACTTTGATGTAGCAGTTTGTAATTTTAAATTACCTTTAACTTTTATTATCTTACTTGATCTTCACGGGAAGCAGGCCTGTCATTCATCTTCTTTTAGAGATGAAGGAGTTGAGGTTTAGAGAGCTTAGCTGTCTTTCCCAACTCATACAGACTGTGGGAGGAATGCCAAGACCCAGTGCAGACCTGCTGCCCCCAGATTCAGTGCTCTTTTCAGCAATTCAGTGAATCAGAAATTCTTTCAAGTATTGTGCATTTCATTAGACCATTGCCAATATAACATCATGTCCTTGAAATGTATTTTTATTCAAAACTTAAAACTGTGACGCAGGCCATTTATTTTATGGAAGGGGTTCCTTATAACCCAGCTCACTAAGGCAGTCCTCATTTTCTTTTTCTTTTTTTAAAGATTTATTTATTTATGCTTACAAAACTGGGGTACAGAGGCTAGAGGTGCAGTGGGTGAGAGGATTCACCAGAGAAAAGTGGGGAGCAGAACAGGCAGTTGTACTGAAATACACTGCTGAGGGGAGCAGCGGGCAGGTCAGAAGAGGTCAGCCACACCATTGTGGGTCAGCTCCCAGGCAGGCGGGAATCGAACTCATGCTGTAGTGGCTTCAGAGAGTTTCATATTACAGTGCTTTAACCTGGCAGGGAGGGCTGGCAGTCCTCATTTTCAAGACAGTAAGGTACATTTTATTCTGTGTCAAGAAAGTCTGACTTCATTTTTTTTCAGCCAAGAAATTGTGTTCCTGGAGTTTGAAGGTGTATCAAAAAGTGAAAAATTAATTGTCGTATATGCTGAGGCAAATTTTTAAAAGCCATCAAATTTAAATATGTAATGTAAATGATTTTATCATTTTCTTATGAAATCTAGGCAATGAATCAGTATGTTATTTCTCCTTACTGAATTTGAAATTTAAAAAAATGGCATATACCTAATATTACACTATTTAGGGAATGAGTATTATCTTGAAAAGCATTGTATCCCTTTGGCAAATTAGGCATTGTATGTGTTAAACTCTGGTATTTATAAAAAATTTAAATAAGAATCAAATCTAAAAAACAAGTTACTAATTTAAACATACATTAAAAATGTTCCTATATATTTAGTTAAAATGAAGAACAGTACCAATAGGCTCATGTGGTAACAAATATTTTCATGTTAAGAGGAGGTGGAAATATTGAATGAATTACAAGGAGATGAGAAATGATTATACTTACGATATTTCATAATAAAATAGGTTGTAAAAATACTTTATTAAGCATCTCACGTTGACTCTGAAAGATGCTGCATAGTATTTTTGCTAATGATTTTTATTCAGCATAACTTGGAAAAAAACTGGTAGTCCTAGGAAACATTGCTGTTAAAGGAGTCTGCATTACTAAGAGTACTGAGGTTGGTGGAAGTTTCTGTTTTCCCTAATTTATGAGTTGCCTTAGTAATAAGTATTAAGAATAGTTAAAAAGAATGTGAGGGGCAAAGGCAAGGTATCATCTAGATCAGCGTTCAAATAATTCTTTCCGGCAGACTTCCAGTCTTATTTTAAACAAAGAAAAGAGGCAAAGATTAGTTGAAACTTAATGTCATATTGTCTCTATTAAAATATTCTTTACTTTTTTTGTTTGCTTTGTACTCAGGGTATTCTTTCAAAAGCATGGGGTTCTCTGAGAACATCCACATATACACAGTATCATTAAATAACTTTGTCATTATTCCCACTACCCTACTTTTTAGTGTAATGGATTATATTATAGTATCCCTCTTGTTATATATGCATTACAGTCTGAGCTCTAATTTAATTTCATTAGTGAAAAGTAATCTTGTTCCTAACATAGTTCATCTTTACTGAAACATGTATTACAAGGTACAAGAACGTTTCTAGATTTAGTGTGCATCCATTAGTATGTAAGGAGAGAGGAAGCATTCCCTTTAGCACCTGAGAGACTGTTTTACCTCAGGGAAATGAGTTAGAGTAGGACTTAGAAAAAATTAAGACGTGCTTTTCCTTTCTAAAGTGAGACAAAAGTTTTTAACTCAGATATTTAGGTGGATAAATTTTGGGAAAGTTACATGGTTCTGAGAAACTTAATGGTTTCTCATAGACCATTCTTTTTTTGTGAGAACACTTGGAAAGTCTCTAGTGTGTCTGTCCAGTTTGAAGACCCCACTGAGGAAAGGCAGCTGTTGCTTAAAAGCCTGAAGTCTTGAATTAAAAAATAAAGTAAGCTCCATAAAGGATTTTTCCCTTAAGGCTAGCTCTGTTTATTTCCAGTGTAGCTGTATCTAGGGAACAGTGGCGATGCCTTTTATTAAGCAGTCCCAACCATGTGGTCTCCTGGAGATTTGCCTGGAGATCCTTTCACGACAGGTAGTTTAAATGGAATGTCCTTTTGAAAATACTGGGGTTCTCAGTTCAGAGCCCTTCATCACATCAGATGCTGTCT